AAGCTTGGTCTTGAGTTGAAACACTGAAACTATGTAATCATTTTGCAGTAGCCAGATGTCATTTAATAGCTTGATAATAATAGCTTGGTCTTCACAAATTAATTTCTTTTTTTTTTTTGGTCTTGAACATGTAACATATGTGGAATAGTCAGCAAATACAAATTTTATCAATCAGATATAGTTTGACATTTTTAACACTTTTTAAACTTTACAAAGACCTGTTTACCATATGGTGTAAGTGGGTGTGCAGGAAACGACACCGTTTCATGAAGTCTCATATATACTGTACTACTTTTCCATGAACTGAGCATGAACGTTTCCTTTTAACGGGTGTGCTGAAGGCAAGCCTTTGAAGCATGGGTGTATAACTTTGGACAGTAACATTTATGTTTGTGTGCTTCTGTAGGTGATTGTTTTAAAATCACTTAATCCTTTAGCTTTTCTTATTTTTATTTGACTTTATTCACAAAAACATGTTCCACATTAATGTTGCAACGTGTGAAAGAAGTAACAGAAAAGCAGAATTTGTATTTTTCTTTTCATTGTTGCAATAGCCAGTTGTTATTATTGTGGTCTCAAGTATCCTATTTCCTTTTTATATTCTATGTCTTTTGAAGATGCTGCAGAGTTTCGCGGCAATTCCATGACCCTTGAACTGAAATCCTGTATATCATTAAATTGAATTAGTAATGGTAGTTTCTTCAGAGATAGGGTCATTGCAGCTTTCCGTGACTTGAAGATACTGATTCCAAATACTGTTCTGGCTTATTTGCATACAGTTATGGTTTAATTCAGTTAGCATTTCATGTAAGGATGAGGGCACAGCCCTTAATGCTCTGTTGTGCAGTACCTCAAATATACATCGGGCCAGTAGAGCATGGAACTTGGCACTCAGTGCACACTAGCAACTTGTGCTTGCTCCTTTTGCAGACAAAAGCTTCTGCTTCTGTTCTAGCAGCCACTTAAAAGTAGAAACGTACTCATTGATAACTGCTTTTCAAACGATAAGTTAAAACATCATTTAAATGCCAAAAGGAAACAGTTTTCCAAGATTAAAGTGTTCGTACATATATATTCTTAAATGCTTAACATGTTGTCCCATCTAGACGCAATTTTTAACTAATTGCTAGAAACTTACCCATGCATCTCTGAAATTACTTTTTGATGTAGTCTCCTGGTTATCAGGTAATTAGTAGCTTAATTAGTTTTAAAACAAAGTTCAGGTAAGGAAAAAAATTGATCCATAGCTAAAATGTCTTTTTGTTTTTTAACTTTGTTTCTCAATATTTAGTGCCTGGCAGTTTCTCTGACAATAGCAATACCTTTTCCTTTCTGAGTGTGGGCTATAACAGCTTCTCTTTAAACAGTGGCTTAAACAGGGTCTGATAGTTAGGACGTGTTTGTAATTCATGAAACTATGTAATATCACAGATTACAGTTCCAAAAAAAGAAAAAATATATATGTATAAAAAAATTATACCCCTTGGCATGTAAGCTTCATGGTATAAAGATTTTAGTTTTATAATATTACTTAAAACTGCACAAATTTTCTGCTCTTTTTGAAAAAAAAATCCTTATTAACATCCTCTTAAGCCCAAGGCAGGAGGAAGAAAATTTAGCTAAAAATGCATGTCAGTCTACAACATTGCCAAGAGAGTGTTTTGCAATGTTACAGCCACCTGGCACCAGCACTGGGGAAGTCATGACTGTTTATGCCACTGGTCTTTTTTCATATACAACTTACCTAATCCTGAGAAGGGTGAGTTGACGACTAGTAATAATGTATCTCCAGGTCTTTCTCCCACTATCCTTGTCTTCAGACTAACAGTCTGAAATGGTCTCTCATCTTCTATCAGCACTTCCTCTGCTCCCCCACTGATAAAGCATCATAATGCAAAAATCAACCTCCAGATTGTCAACCCTGGGCAGAGGCACTCTGTTTTACCAGTTTAAATAGTAACTGCTGTACTTCTCACCAGGAAAGAAACAACTCAGTCCTGTCTGTCATGAAGTACATTACAAAGCCTAGTGGCCTCAGTCCAAAAATCACAAATGCAACTGTGAATACTTCTCTCTTGTGGGAGGGTTTATACAGCAAAGTTTGTCCATAAGTCTTTCCCCACCATGTCCTTCCTTTGAGCATCTCTTAAAGTCCTTGTCACCAAGTGTCAGTGTTTGATAGTTGAACTATTTAGCTAAATGTACATACTGAAGTGGAATCCAGAAACAAATGGAAAATAATTTAACTCATTAAAAGTCTATTAATCAAATTTTTTTGGTAAATTTCTTTTTTTATTGAGAGACTCTACTTACTATGTCTTGAAAGATTCTTTGTTTGTGTTCTATCACTATTTTTGCTTCATTTAAAAGAATCTTCTTTTCTATGCAGCTTTCTTCAAGTGGAGATGGTCTTAATACCAATGACTGCAAGGACAGTGATCTTGGTTGATACTCACTTAAAGGCTTTCTAAGCTGGGAAGTTTTTAGGAAACTGTAGACTACCTTGAGGTTCTTATTAAAAGTACATCATTTCACAGACATATTCTAAAATAAATCTTTCCTATGTGGTGTCAATGGTACCATTTATCTACATACAGTATTCAAGACAAAGTAACTGCTGCTGGGATATAAGTTCTTGTTAAGTGATCTTGTCAGTAACGTTTGCTGTTGAAGTTACTTAACATTCAGCATAAGCTTTAATACTTGATTTTGCTCATTAATGTTTTTTTTTAATGTTTGTGCCTAGGCAGTAGATTCAGCTATTACTGCCTTTGCAATATTTTGCAATAGAATTATGAGAAAAAGAAAGGACTTCAGGATAAAAATAGATTCAGATAAAATTAAAGCACAAATCATAGAATCCCAGAATGCTTTGGCTGGAAGGGACCTTAAAGATCACCTAGTTCCAACCCCCCTACCATGGGCAGGGACACCTTCCACCAGACCAGGTTGCCCAAAGCCCCATCCAGCCTGGCCTTGAACACTTCCAGGAATGGGGCTTCCACAGCTGCTCTGGGCAACCTCTTCCAGTGCCTCACCACCCTCACCATGAAGAATTTCTTCCTAATATCTAATCTAAATCTTCATCTTCCAGTTTAAAGCCATCGCCCCTTGTTCTGTCACTATATGCCATTATAAAATGTCCCTCCTCAGCTTTCTTGTAGGCCCCTTTAGGTACTGGAAGGCTGCTGTAAAGTCTCCCCGGAGCCTTCTCCTCTCCAGGCTGACCAACCCCAACTCTCTCAGCCTGTCCTCATAGGAGAGATGCTCCAGCCCTCTCATCATCTTTGTGGCCTCCTCTGGACTCGCTCCAACAGGTCCATGTCCTTCTCATGTTGGGGGTCCCAGAGCTGGATGCAGTACTGCAGGTGGGATCTCACAACCAACATGAAAAAACTGACAGTGCAAGATTTCACTTCATCCCCTACAGATATTATATATGTAGATGTAATAGCTGTATGGTAATAGCTCCTTCCAAACGGAGGAATGCGTTTTAGCAGCAGCACTATGCATGTTTTGTTTTGGATCCTTTGAAGATTATGCCTTTGTTGCTGTTCTTGTTGATTCTGGAACTAAATGCAATATACAGTAATGCATGCCTTGCAGTTTCCACGATTTCAGATGACAAATAACAGTCTCTTTGGGGATATGCAATAATGCCCTATGTATTTTCATTGTCTGTTCTCATCTATATACTTTATTCTCCTAGTTGGCAACTACTTTCCATTCATTGTAATTTTTAAAATCAGTGGAAACTGGATGAACGCCATCTACTCAGCAGTTCAGAAAATCGAGCCCAAATAGAAGATTTTCTGTAAAATGTTGTTGCTGAATAGCAAATTTTGAAAGGGCAAGTATTGTTTGAATTTTAAAGCTAAACTTCATGAGCTGAATTGAGAAATATCATTTCTTCCCTCTTGCCCCCCCTTTGATTCTCTTGTTTTTCTGAAGCACTCTAAGACTGGAGGCACTTCGAGACTCAGCACTTATTTTCTGTTTTGGTAACAAAATCAGTTTTACTATAGCAAATCTTTGCTATAATATCAGGTTTAAAACTGAAGTTTTTAGTATCCTAAATAAAAACTTCTCAAGATGAAATTAGCTTTGTTCTAGTTTTGTCCGACTTTCTTAAAGCCTATTTTTTTAAACAGTTCAGTGTGTAAGAAGCATAATTGAAACTGCTTTAAGGTACAGACTATCAAAACTAAGAAATCAAGTTGCTCTGATGACTCACTCAAATTGCTCCTCTGTTTGAGAATTTAATTGATGTCTCATGTGCCTGTGTGCATCAAGTAAAATTAATATGCCTCTATGGGAAGCTTCTGTGTGTTTGGAGAAATCTTGGCTTAAAGAAAAATGCTTTTGCTATTTTGACATACCATGTGTTTTATGGCATATAGAACACGGAGAGAGTCGTCCAAGTAAGTGACCCTTTTGAATGTCTTTATGAAGTTTGACAATGCGTGACTTACCAGTTAAGTACAACTTCGATCAAGGAGCCCTGTTAATAATTTGTAGTTAAAATATTATTCTTGGTTACTTTAAGATAGAATTTTATAGCTCCTTTATATTTTACTCATACAAAGAACTATACAACTTTTACAGTATGAATGTTTAGGAGCTTTTTGGTAAAGAAGAAAATAATGATTGATACCTTTCCTTTTTTTATATGTAATTATATAACATTTTGCACTTTGTTCTGAATTTTGTTTGTCTACATTATCTAACATCAATATACAACTGATTAGAGGCATACAAACTACTAGCTCATTTTTTTCTAACTAGATTTGGTTTTTCAGTTTCACTGCATCTTAATAAAAATTTGTATTTTGGTACAGGTCATATTGTATATACTACATACAATCTTATATACTGTAATGAATCAAGTGTGACATTATAAACTGCCTTTATTCAATACAGTTGTTCAAATTCACAAGCTTTGCTTTTCTTACATCTGACACTGAAAAGTTGCTTTTCTGTATCAATTTTTTTTTTTCCAGATTGTCACAAATTACTCCACTTTTAAAGAACACTCAGACAAGCCCAATGTACACACAGTTCCTGAATACGTTGCTGGAAGAACTGCATTTCAGAAATGAAGATCTGGAAAGCTTAACGAGAATATTTAGAAAGGACTGCCTACTTGAATGGTCAGTCAATTTTAAGCTATTTTGCATGTCACAAAGCTAAGCCAGTTAACAACAATTTTAATTTTCAGCATTTTCTAAGTATGCACAGTAACAACAGATCGTATCAGCTGAGTAGAAAATGTGTAAAGTACATTTTAAAGTAAAGAAATACGTATGGTATGGAAATGAGTGTCATCATTTTGTCACTTACAGTAAATGCCAGCTGCTTACTTATCACTTTAATCTTTTGAGAATATAGAGTTGGTTTATATATAGTTGGTTTACTGCAATTTGGGGAGGAATTTTTACTCAAGTTCTACTACAATTTATTTTTTAAAAAAATCTGTGCTGTTACAATGGCTGTCTCAGAGGGATTTTTTTATTATTAAAATGAAATTGTTATGTTCAGAGTTTGTGATATAAAATTGAGCTAAAAGCCATGTATTTTTTTGCATAATACTGAGATGACATTTTGTATTCTGGGTAGGCTCAAAAATTTAAGAGCAAATACCTTATTTATGCTGATCATATTCAACTGATTCAATGAATATAGCATTATACTATTTAATTAATTAATTAGTCTATTAACATTATTGATTTCACTTCTTTGTTCCCTACAGAATAAGATGATCATCTTAACATCTCCTACTATCTGAAATAGCGGCACAGAGAACAAAACACCACCTTCAATTTTGGAACTTGTTTTTAAATGAAAAATGAAATTTACTATTAATTATACTTCTTGCATTTTTGCTTTTTCATTTCCTTCCTATGAATAAGAATTTTGAAGTCTTGTGGAGAAGCTGACTATAACAGCAGTTGTTCAAGGTATGCATGAAAACTAGTTAAAATGTGGATCATCTGGAAACTGTCTATTTAAAAGCAGTAGAAAGGAATTTGGATTGTTTTGGGTTTTTTCTTGCTTTGGAAATTTTCAGCCAAAATTTGTCTACAGGAATTGGGGAAAGGCGGGGACACGACTATATTAGCCTGGAGTGTTAAGTACACTGCTGATGAGATTTTTCCAGTTGACGCAACACATGGAGCAGTAAACTTTAAGAATGATGATGACAGTACACAAAGATCTCTGATCTATGGCCTGTTTATCTTGCTGCTTTTAAGAAAAGAGGTGGTCTTTGACCTTGTGTAAAAGCTATTTTTAAACAGCCTCTAATTGTTACTAATTTGGACTTTAAAATATATTTTAATAACTAAAAACTTAATTTTTGGCTTTCAGTAGTCATTTCATTTAAGAGTTGTGTTGTTTAGATTGAGTGTGTTTAGACTTGCTGATTATAAAATGCAATTTAAAACTAATCCACTAGTAATTCATAATGATTCCATAATATGGTTTATTGCATAGTTCTCAGTTCATAGGACATTGTCCTTTGAGAGACTTGAGAAGAAAGTTGTAACTGACAGTGCTTAGTCTACAGCAAATGGCAGCACTAGTTAAGGCTGAAGCAAGACTTACCATCTTACTACATAGCAGCTCCATGTAAAAACCCGAATTTATTCCTTTGTTTTGTTTCTGTAATTGGACACCAAAAGGGAACTCTGCAATTAATTAGTTTATTGCTGTGTAGTCCTTTCATGATAATCAGGATAAATATGTTAATTGCCCCCAACACACAGAAGCCCATGCAGCTTTTCCCTGGAAGCTTCATTGTGTAGTAGAGTTTATTTAGGTGATGTTTGACTTTTCCTAACTTACCTTGTAATGGGAAGTTATGTTCAGTATAACTTGTAAAAGCAACAATTTAGAATGAGGAAAACGTTTAATGCACAGTTAAAGCTATGCATTTATCTAAATATGCAATAGGAAAAAAATACCCATCGTGATCAGAGCGTGTCTGATGTCAAATTCATAAGAATGCATGATGTAATCTGGATAGAAGGTACATTGGTTTTGTATCATGATGGAAAACTTTTTACTTGATACATATGCAAAGATGGGACAAGACCTCACCAAAAGATAAGCTTATAAAAGACTGAGTAATAGATATGATACTCTGAGCAAAACTTAAATCTTGAATTTATATCTATCTGCTTCTGATTTTGGAAGTTAAATATATTTCTATTTTTAGATAGTACTCCACTGTAGATTTTGAGCAAGCCATTGTTCTGTTCCATGTATATTTACCTTGGGGCATAAAGATTACAACTGCCCTTATGACAACACTGCTATACTGAGTACACCTAGAAGGCATTACAAATGTACATCATACCAGGAATATTACTGTGTTTCATCAGGTTCGTTGGCTCTCATTTGGAAAGTCTTACACTTCCTGTCAGTTTAGTGGTGTGATTCTTTTTTGTTAGTTATTTTTAGGCTTGGTCTTCAGCGCTTACTGTGTAGGAAACATACGATCTTGTAATAAGAGTGAATAGGTCAGAGGCCCAAAGACATCTTTGTCAGGGTTCACTGTAGGTGCTTTTACTGTCCGCCTTAGCAGCTCAAAAAAGAAAGGTTACATGATTTTTGCATCTCCTCCCTGGCTGCTATGTAGCTCACCTAGACTTTTCCTTGCCCTAAGAGAACACAGTAACCTTTCTCCTTCCATGACCGCCTCCACCAGTCCAGAAGAAAGATTTCCATAAATATGCTGGAAATGCCCTGAAGGGATATTCTTCACTTACTTAATGATTTCACCTCCCTTAGATAGGAGTAAAACATATGTAAATAAATGCAGAAAGTATACATATACCCTTTACTTTTGAGTAGGAGGAAGGCTGTAGAGTCATCTCAAAAGGATCTTTTGTAGTATCAGCCTTAACTGGTTGTACAGAGAGCACAACTCAAGCACCAAAAATTGAGTTCATCTATGTAGTTCTCTTGGGAGCATATTTTGTAACAGCTTAACTGCCTACAAATGTTCAAATCTAGACCTCATTTGTGAGCGTAAAGCTCATTTCTGCCAGAACTATCTGTCCTTTAACAAACTTTACTCTTTCTCAGCTCTTCCCCCCCCGCTTCTCATTTTGGTTATGTTTGCAGGCAGATTGTTTCCTTGTGGCCTTGCTGCTGTGCTTACTGGTTTTGCTTCCTATGTTAGTTGAGCAGATGAGAACAGTTGACACTCCATTTAGGGCCTTATCTCAGATACACTAAGTTTTAGTGACTTGTGAGCTGCAGGCATGTAGGCACATTATGGATCTGGGGCTTAGGGTAGATGGGACATAAGCCTCTATTTCTGAACTGCTCTATGAAAGGGGCATGAGCTTGGTAAAGCCATGAGCTGCTTAGATCATAAGGATCATAAAGTCATAGAAGTCCATTGCTGTGACCATGTAAAGCATCCAAGCCTGTCTGGCAGTGGACCTGTAGCAGGGCAAATACAGTATGATGTGTTTCTTTTAATAGGAGGGGGCAGGGGGGAAACCAGACTTCTATGGCAAATTTTTTTTTCCTGACATATGTAATGGATATAGTAAAGAACAGAAGATTAGTTTAGTTTAAAGCTTAAAGCAAAACCTGCTTCATGCTGTTGCAGCTTCTCAGCATCGAAGGAGGAACCTGTGATATATCCATGTAGATATGGATTTCTTGCTGAGTTTTCTACAGATGTAATGAAGTAATCTCAGGAAGAGAACAGTATTAATAAAACCACATATACAAAGAAGAACAAATTGTTCAAAGTTATTCAAAGTAGTCTTTGCGCTGGCCAAAAAGGATGGAGGAAGAGCTTTTTTTGTCTATTTTCACACCAAATTTCAGTTCACAGTAAATACTGTCAGCATAAGTACCGTGCTCTGTAATACTGAATTTCCTAGCGCAGAGCCCTTCACTGCTGCTGTTTGATTCTTTGTGCACATTGACCAAGCTTGCTGATTTTTCTTGGGGTTTGGAGGGAATAAGGGGATTTAGAGTGCTTCGCTAGATGATAGTCACTATTTCAGGAAAGAGGGCAAGTCATAATGTAACCTGTAAATTATCAGGTGTTCAAAGATATCTTTGTAAAGTTTGCAAATTATGTTATGCTTATATATGGCAATGCAAAATTCTACATTAACACAAGCAGAAGAGAGGTTAATTTCTTCACTGAAGACTATCAAAACAAAAACTTGCCCTAGTAAATCTAGAGCAGCATAACTGCCATGGCTGTGCTGTTGTCTAAACCCAGGACTGGAAAGTTACATCTACGCTGTCTTTAAAGAGTGATGCAGGGAGCAACAAAGAGCGTGGTACATACATGAGATATGTCTGAGGCCTCAAAGGCTGTGTCCACACAACACATAGAAGATGTACCTCTATTTTCACTCTTTGGTCTCAGACAGTAGTTTAAAAGTGAGGCATCTGTTGTGGTTTGGGGGGGGGAGATAACGATCCTGGGAATCTGAGTGTTGAACCTGCATGTCCTACCCTTCTCTCCCTAGTTTGAGGGAATCTGGACTCTACAAAATGTAAGAGGGAACGAGCAGCTCAGCTGGACGTTAAGTCTCAGCTGACCTTTAACTGCTGGAGAGAAAAGGACTAACACATCAGAGAGAAGAAAAAGGAAGAGAGAAGGGGAAAGGGGTATTCACACCTTCTAAATTTAGGCATCCAACTGTAGGTACCTGCTTGTCTCCATTTACTTCAGAGAGAACCGATGCTTTTAAATTCAGGTTCTCCAAATCATACCTTCATACAGTGTATGAAATGGGTGGTGTTTATGCCTCTGCCCCTATTCCCTGGTGGCAGAAAGAAAGACAAAAAGTCAGCTGAGAACTTTGACCATAGTAGACTGGCTCTCCCTGAAGTAATTTATTTAGTGGTAAAGCGTGGCACAAAACTGAATGGGGACCTGCCCCTGCAACGTGGGAAGTTTCTAAGCAATCTGATCCTATTGTTGGGTTATTTTGCTGGCTACTACTTCACACAGAGTTTTTTCTTAACCTCTAAGAGTTAAAACCAAAAGAATTAAAGTGAGTGGCTGTCTTTAGGAAAAAAAAAATAATAATGCCAATATTATGTTGAAAGTACATCCAGGAAGTTACACTCTAGTTCTACAATTTGCCTCTAAGCTTTCCACGCTTACTGTTTATTTCTGCAATTGCTTACAAACACCCAGTACTGTGGGTGGGGTTTAGCTTGATCTCACTGATGAACTGCCACTTCCAATGAGCATTAAATATTGAAAACACAGAATCAGCCTCTCTGGCAATTCTTAAATTTCCATAAGCAGCAGGTGGTATACAAGGCAGGGCTAGGCACCTATAAAGACCTCTGTTTCTCAACTGTGTATCTCTTACCACCTGACAGCCAGTCGTCCTCTGATTAGAGTCAGAGGAAGTGGGTGTGCCTTCCATTAGCAAAGACAGAAAGTAATATTGCTACAGACTTTTCCTCTTGTGAGCTTTCTTTTTGTGATTCTTCCTCTTAGAACTGCTTCTCTGCATAGACTGCACAGTGCTTTGGGAAACAGGCTGCCTGAAAGACATCGTAGAATGTGAACTGTGACATATGTGGTGCTAAACAGGATTTGGTGACGTGGGGAGAGCGAGCTGGAAACCTGTGTCTGCAAGTAGCTCTCATTTGAGCACTCTGGTTTCAAAAAGCAAGTGAAAGCATACGCTGCCTCAGTGGCTGATCTGGACGTGTGTGATAAATGTTAGTCATTCCCCCTTGGTTGCTTGCAGCTGTAGAGCAAGAAGCAAGGGAACCTGGAGTTCTGAAAAAATAGACAAGACTAGCCAAAAAGAGTAATAATTAGCAAGAAGAAATGTGAGAAACAAGCACAAGCCTTTTTAAACTGTTCTTGCCCTGGAAAATGGGCAATATTGTGAGATACCTTTTGGGCATCCTCCTCAAAATAGCCTCCTCAGTACAGCATCACATTTGGGGCAGCATTAACAATAGTTAAGGAAAGGCCAGGAACCAAGGCTACTAACCTTCTGACTGGTGTTTCTGAGATCTGTGAGCCAGGTTTATCTTCCCACTGACTTTGCCACCACAGTTGATTGTGCAGACTTAAGTCCTAGACTTAAGAAGGCTTATCGATGAGAATAATGCAGTTCAGGAAGTGTGGCCCCTGTAACACTTCAGATGTCTACCTGTTTGTTGGTTTTACTGTGCTATCCTGCGGTTACCCCAAGACAACAGCTCCCTAATGTGTCCTTTCTCCAAGAACAAACTAGACACATTCGTGCTGATAAGGCAGTCGCATCTCACCACTGTGAAAACTGCCACCTTAGAAGTCAGTCCCCAGAATGCTTTGGTAGCCTATACTTTCAAGGCAAAGTCTTTAGTACATTTTTGCATGCTGTAATTACCTGCAGGAGCTGCATGCAAAGATTAGAGAACAAAGCCAGTGGGGCTACTGGCTGTTACATCCTGCATCATTGCAAGCTACGTCAAATCCATGCCATTTCTGGCACTTTTTAGCCTCTTCTTAAATTTCATGGGGTATGTAACTGAATTGAAAACATAGTGGAACAGCAGCGCCTTCCTGGAGAGTCCTACAATTTGGTTAGAATTAGTCATCACTACAGAGAGTTTGAAGGACTTTGGATACAGCTTTAATAAGCTGCAAACACATAGATCAGGATTTACATCGTAAATCTTGCCTTTTTGTTCTCCTCAAATGGGAGTGTCTACAAATCAGGTTAATATAATTTAACAGTACAGTAGTTACGTAACAAAAAAGAGATCATAATTGGTAGTATTATCTAAGAAGCCAGAACAACCCTGCTTACAGCTGCCAGCTAAGATCTGACTCATCTAAGGTATTTTATAGCAACCATATGCTAGGCATGTCTATCTCACCTATTATGCAAAAAAAATGATAACATTTCCTAATCAGGATTTGCCACTGAGCAGGATTTTCCGTAAACATCTCAGTATTGCAAGCACTATCCACAGTCAGGAGAAAGCCTTTTGCAGACACTTCTGATGTGTTAATTTAACAAATAGAACAGTGGCTAGTACTGATTCAGCAAGGCTGGCTGTAGTTCAAAATATAGGTATATTACTTTGGCGGTTGACATGTTAAAACATCACTTGGGAATTCTGTGTTAGAAGGTAACTTCAGAATACCTGCACTTCTTGTGGGGGGAAAAAAAAAAAGAGAGGGTGTTTCAAATTGAAGACACAGTCTCGAAGCAGGAACAACCATGCAATACATTAAAAATACTTCACTGAGACAGCGCAACAAAGTTGTATTGGTATAGTATATTTACCTGCATAGCCAGAAAAGAGAGGGTGAATTTGTATCAGTAGAGGAGAGAAAGATTATTAAGGTCTTTTGAAAATATTAAGGTCTTTTGATTACAATGCAGCTGGTTAAGCTAGAATAATCATTGCATTTTAACAAAGGCAGACACTGTTGTAAACCCTGTTGGCTATTGATTTTTGAGCAAGTTTTACATCCAGTTCACTTTTACACAGAAACCTGCCTAAGCCTACACCCCTCTGCAGTCTGACTTTAGTCCTTCTTGCACAAAGACTGGTTAAATGTCCATCAGCCTTAACTATTCCTAGGCTCTTGCTGCCGCATCATGTAGTCTGAAGAAGTAATATGGGGAATGAAGCTGCAGTCCCAACGCTCCCTTCTGTTCTCAAAAGAGCAGTAGTTTTACTGCTTAAAGCTCTGATGACAAAGCTCCTGTTGATGCAAATGAGAGCAAACTGTTGTCTTGCTAATTACATACCTTGTTCAGGAATCACAATCTCCAATTTTTTGAAAAACCCTTCACTTAAAAGCTTTTTTCAATACATTCTTTTTTTCTGAACTGTAGGCTCTCACTAAATAAAAAAGTGAAGTAGATATTTTTGCTGCTTAAGGTCCTTGGCTTATTATAAAATTTCACAACTAGAAATGTAGTTAAAGTGTTTCTTCCCTATTAAGATAACTTCTCCGGAGAGCATTTGAACACTTGGAAAATAAATGATTTGACAGATACTACATTAGCCCTCAACAGCTCTGGGTCAAATACATGTCATCTCAGCTAACTATTCATTTCTAAGATCCTCCCAAGCTCTGCTTTTTTGTACACTGAACATCTGATGCTTCTTGTTTTTCTTCTATAACCACAGATGTGCCCTCTTCAAAAAACTCACAATCTCAAAATACTAAACTGACAAGCTGAGTGTCAAACCACACACCCCAAGCAGCAAGCAGTGCTGAAGAAAAACAGAATCACGCTTGAAGAAAAACAGAAGAAATAACACAAATTGTTTCCAAAGAATGAATCTGAAATGTTTTCAGCTTGGTGCAGGCATTGTTAAGAATGTAAATGCTTTTGATGCTTTTTGGTTTTATGCTCCCTTACTGTATAAGCAGAGGCTGCTCTTGGACAGAAGAGATTCATTTGAACAATGCTTTATATTCTCTTGTTAAGATGAGTTTTATCTCTCTTTGAGCTAGACTGGAGCCTTGCTATGGGACCCAGGTGGGGCTCCTTGTTTGCCAAAAAGCAGCACGGGTGTTCCTGTGCGCTAGCTGAGTTACACACTGGGGTAAGCGAGGCCTCTTCACTGGGAACGTGTGGTTTGTGTGCACCACGGAGCCTCTCTGCATCAGAGCCCCCAGGTGTTGCTCACTGAGAGCTGGACAGGAGCCGAGCAAAGCTCCCATTGTGAGCAAGCAGGCCCACAGCTACCAGTTTGCTACATTACAGAAGGCTATTTGAGCACAGGGGACTGAAGTGATTTCTCCAGGTCTTTGTGGACTGGCTACAGCAGACCCACAGCTCGTTCAGCTGTAGTGCCTAGCTGCAAGCCATCCCTTCTCCCACTGCAGCAGCTGATCTGGGACAAGATTTGGTCCACAATGCTCTAGTGCTAAGGTGCCAAATATTTATAATTCGGCTTGGCAGTAATGCTATGAGTTACCTAAAAGGCCTCATGATACTGTCCTGCAAAGAGTGACATGTAGAAGCAGTAGAAGGGGTCATTGTCATACCAGAAAAATATGTAAGACCAGCTAGCTGGTTTCTTAATTAAACCATCAAGCACACTTGACACTTCACAGCATGCTGTCACCTTATCTCTACAGGTCAAAATTTGTCATAGCATTAAAAAAAAGTTACAAACGTGTATTTAGCTGCCTTGAAGGCTCTCTGTCAATATGCAACTGTAAGGTAATGCTTTGCACAGTTTTCGCTGAAAGAAACATCCTTTTTTTAGTCTGGTGATTCAACGTTGACCTCCAGTTTTGGTACTTGACTGCTGATCTTCTGTAAAGATCTGTGTAAGAGTAATGCTGGATTCTGGGTTACATCATTTATATTTTAAGGGTTTGAGTCAAAAGCTGGATTTCTTTTTTCCTAGTTCATCTGTATCTGATAACCTTGAACACAAGAGAGATGATGCCTGAAGCAAAGCTGATAAAGTCACCAGTACTAAGAATCATCTCTGTTGCAGGGGGAGAAGCACAACAGTATAGATACATATCTTCACATCCTTATTTCCTTTACAAGCGGAGG